CTAAAGGCTGGGCTGCTTTTCATTCTTGAATAAAACCAAATGACAGCTGGGAAGCAGCATTACTCCAAGGTCCCAGAGCCAATAGGTGCTATCAGAACAAAGCCATCTGATACTTAGAAGTATTTTTTGTTTGTACATGACCAGATGGAGGAACCTAGACACACACTTTGAATGTTATTAACTGCTGTGAAGAAAACTCTCCACGAACAGGCATGCTGTGAAAAAGAAACCTTGATTAGCTGATACCTGCATTAGTACATGCAAGACTGACTGGCCTCTGAGCAACGAAATACCTGCAGGATTATTTTGTACTGTCTTCTAGTAATGATTTTGATACTACAACTTTGGTGGTTCAGGAGAAAAGGGAGGGAAAGCTCATGAGTCCTCAAAAATCATTAGGAAATGTTCACATTATATGTGTTTTCTTCCTATTTTCATCAGTGTTCAGGAACATTCATATTTAGAGTGCTACTGCTCAGCACTAAACTTAAAATGCCCCATTGAACAAACAGGACAGTTTATGCTTCTGTGATATTGCCTCAGGCTCTTCTCAGATCCAGATAGACACTAGCAATATACAATGGGTATGATTATGGTAACAACAAAAAACTGCAGAAACCCCTGAGCACAAAATGGCACCTTCAGAAGACTGACAAGCTCCTGTGAGCCCTGGTCCCACCTGAAAATTTGGCTTTCCCATGGATGCAGCTACAATGTGTGCATGGGGAACGAGAATAAATAGGCAAGTGAGATGCAGTAAGCACTAAGAACAGGCTTCTTTTTTTTTAAAGTATCTTCAGAGCAGAAAGCTCTCCCTTAAGACTTCATTTGCACAAAAAATGCCTCTGAGGGGGTCTCTGAAAGAGAAAGCAAATCTACCAAGTGCAGCAGATGCTCCTAGGGGATAAACCTAAGCCTGCAGGTCACCTAGTGGAGGACTCCACCCCACTCCATCATAGATGTTAATGCATTTTCCAAAGGCCAGAGGATCTTTGGTTAAGTCTACACTATATTCTTCTAATTTTTCCCCTCAAATGTATTAAAAATCTCAAATGACTGGAAATTAAAAGTCATATGCCCCCAAACTATTATGACTGAGGGTTTTTAAAAAAATATAAAGTAATTCTAAGACACTGCTGAGTAATATTAACTCTCTATTTCCTTCAAATTAAAAAAGCTACTTTTAAGATCTTACAAGTGCTAACCCTGTCTTTTCTCAGGAAATGTGCTTTTTTCCTTATATCTCTGACAGGCCTTTCACTGAAGGTATTCTTTATGGCTGTAGTTATAATAAAGGAACTGGGCTTAGACCTCTTTCCAGAGCTTTATTTTTCTTAAACCTAAGCCAACCCTTGCAAATAGAATAAAATAAATGACACTAAAAATATTTGAGTTGGAAAACAATCCAAAGTTTGGCTCCATTTCCACATACCAAATTTTTTTCCCCTCTAATATTTAAAATGACTTAACACTGAAAACATTACTAGGGAAGTAACAAGAGAAGGCAGTGATTTTTAGTACTGGAACCTGCACCTCCAAGTGTTGTTGTTTTCTGTCTTCTCCCTTTCTTAAATCAAAACATCGTATCATGTCATATAACAGTGGTAACACCATATAGAAAAACATATTGCATTATATTAAATATATTAACACTTTTTTGGAAAGACTTACGAGTGTCAGGGAGAACACCATGCCAGAATAAATGCAAACTAGGTAACTTCTCAATGACATCTCTTTCATCTGCTCCACCCATCCTGCCTTTTTATGACAGGATGATATATGGGTGACTTCCAGATTATGACTAAGGACTAGCACATTATTCAAACTCATCCCAATATATGCCAGTTCTGTGGAATCCAACAACAGTGAAAATGAAGGTTCAGGAAGCTTCTCACAGCTTTCATATCAGCAGTCTTTTCTACCCAGTGGGTCTCGTAAGACTACCTTTTTTCTCCCAGGAAAAGTCATACAGGACTTTTAACTGTCATACAGGAAAAGTCACACAGGACTTTTCCTCCTCAACATTCCAAGAAAAGGTCTGCAACTGTTTGTGAAAATCCTTCTACCAAAATCAGCTGTGGGAATTATTTCTTTAAAATTAAAAAATGTCGTATCTGAAAAATCAAGGCTTAGAGTGTGGCTATGCACCTGAGCTGATCTTCAAGGTTTTCCTTTTATTAACAGAACAGCATGTATCTTTATTTGGATCAGAAGAACTGAATGGTTCTCTATTTGTGATGAATTGATAATCAGTTTTCTACCTTACAAATTCGATTCTTTTTCTGGTCCTGACACAGCAAAACATTGCCCTAAAATTTTCATAGATCAGCTGAAGAAATGTGTCAACATACAAAATGTCAGAGTTCAATATATTTAGAAGTGCTTTCATTTCTGTCTGCACCCCTTCACACATGAAATATGTGCAGTTTCAAAGCAGAGGCTCCATTGACCGTAAAACATAAGCAATCCATATTCTAAGAGCAGATTAATATTTTCAGAACTTTCAGAACTTTTTTACATTTGCTTTCTCAAATGAAAAATGTAATTTAAATAACTGCATTTTTTATTGGGGGAAACTATCCCATCTAACTGGAATTCTCTGAAGAAAAACCTGGTTTGAAAGCATTTTTCTCACTGACCCACAGAGGAATCTATTCAGAACAAAGGGAAGATGGAGACTGATAAAGGTATCTACACTGCAGAACAAACAAAATGTGTTACATTGCAACAGTCCTGACCTGTTACCTGTCTAAACCAAAGAGGTATTGGGACTTCCTACAAAACCTGCCATGCACGTTCTTCTAGAATTTCCTTGGAAGGCAATTGGGCAATAAAGTCTCATTTCAGAAGTTAGCCAGTATCTTGATAGAACTTGCACAGCGAAACCAGAACCAGTAATCACATCTGCCTCACCATGTTAGCACAGCTGTCAAGATCTATTTACACAAGCAGATATGTCCACTCCACGTTTGATATGTCTGACATCAGCTGCCTAAGGTATGAGCACAGTCTTCCTTGGTCACACATAAACAAAGGTGAATTCAGAGCTCTTGAGAACTGACTGTTCCCACAGACCAAGGAAATCTCAGGAAGGCAGGACCTCCAATCAGCTACCTGCAGCAGATTGTATGATTAATTATGTGCTATTAAATAAAAGACCAAGGAACAATTTTCCTCTGTGCCTTCAAGACAGGTTGTCTGCATCCAAACTGTCTGCTGGGAATGGCCCTTGGCAGATGTGACTCCCTATCCTGTTCCTGGCAATGCTGTTCCGGAATAGAGAGTTGGTATAGTCCAAACTGGGCTAAAGACCACGACAATGAGGCTATGGATGATCCTGTGCTTGGCCACACCATAAAGAATGGAAGCTGGTATAGGCTAAACTTGGTCAAGGACCATGCCAGAGCTATGGATGACCACAGAACAGTTACTGCACAAGGCTACGTTCTCGTCATACTCCATTTACACAGATATGGCATATAGTTCCCAGCCTCTCAACCCATCTCTCTCCTAGCCTGGCCAAAATTACAAGCTTGGGCTACAGCTTGTCCCAACTTGTATCAAATATGTAATTGCACCCATAAAACTGATAATATTTATGAAGTTTGTGTAGCCTGCTTCGAGGTGAGAGCATACACCTCCACCTCTTGATCATGTCTTCAACTTGCAATTCTGAAGATATCCGAAGTTTTTTGACTCTGAGAAGACCAGTAGAACAAAGCACCGTGACATGAAGCATTATTTTCACTTGGCAGCCTTATTAAAAATACCCCTCCCTCCTGAAACGATTGCCCTTAGTTCTACCACCTTGCAGACACCAACTAAGCACAAGAAAATTATTGAAACATGGACTGCCCAGTCGTGGCAAAGAGCTGCACGGGTTGGCTTACTTATTGCATGTGCCCCATTCTCCTCTCCATTCACAGTGGCTTCTCCGTTCTTTGGTGTGTTCTGCTGGGAAACAGCAGTCGTCGTTGCTCCCGCTGTCGCTGCCGTCGCTGCCGCTGCTGCCGCTGCGCTGGCTTGTTGCTGAGCTAGCTTCTCTCTGAATGCTTGCTGTCGGGTCTGAACAACATCAGGCATCACTGCATCTATCAGGGACAGTGATTCTATTGGCCTGCCATCAAATACTGTACCATCCTGCAGGGAAAACGAGCAGAAGTGAAACCCCAAGGTTAGGATCTTCACCACTAAGATCGGCAAAGAGGTAATGATACAGAGAAACAAAACTAGGTTGTGTGAACATACTCTATTTTGACTTAACCAACAGTTGCACATCACTATAGACCATCTCTCTCAGATCCATGACAGTGGTACTCATGGTCTACTTAGAAATCTGTTCCGTGAATAAGCAATTTGTTGGAATTTAATAAAAAATTCAAGCATACAAATGCTTCATAGATGCAAAAACAAATGGAAAAAAAAGTCTCACTGATGACAGAAAGTTCCACTTGGTTTTCTATTTGGGAGAAAAGAGTCATGCTAAAGCCATGAAAAAGGCAAAGAGACTTTGGTAGACCTGTTTGTCTTCCTGCACTTGCAGGAGCATAGGAATGGAATGCAAGCAGCTGATGAATCCTGAACTACAGCAAAAACACTATGTATGCAAAAATTCGGTGGATTCTTACACAGTGTTCATTGGCCAAGCACCCCCAGTTGTAGCTGATTGTACAGGACTGCCTTACCATTATTTTTCCTAATTCTGCTACTCTTATTCATAATAGTTCTGACTTTCACTTTGATTTCTGCAAATTAGGCTTCAGTTTTAACAACCAATTGAGTATACTTTTAAGGGCTGGATTTTTAAGACTTAATACAGTCAGGTCAACAACTGCTTTATCTGCTATGTTTCTTCCCTTTCACTTTACTATTACCTTAAATATAGGAAAAAGGTCTTAGTAGTGTTTTTAAAGTGCCATTTTACCAATCTTCTGCAAACTCCTTTAATTCTTTGAAATGATAATGACCCAGTAGTGAAAGATTTGTGCTTAACAAATAGCAGGTAAGATTAGAATATGGACAGATGAAGCAGATGGCAAACAATGTATTTTTCAATAGATAACAACAATTAATAAAGAAAAAGCTGTTTGGTTGACCAGGATGCCTCTGCTGGGCTAGTCACTGAATTACCCCTTATAATTACAGTATTAAAATAATGGGGTTTTTTTCTCATGAGGAAAAGATAGGAGGAAAGAGTCATTAGAGAAGAAAAACATAATCTCTCCTTCTCCTCAACATTTTTTACATAAATGTCCCTACCAACATTTATTTGAATCTTGACTCAAATCCTTGCTACCCAATGAAGAAAATGTTTGCCAATGGATTTTGGCATCTTACATTTTCAACTGTAAAACTGCTCACTGGACTATTTGCATGACTGTCCTCTAACAGATCAAAATCAACACCTTAATTTTAAACACACTAGTTTACAGACTCACTGATTACTTGCCACTCTTAAGCAATACATGTAGAAAAGTAACATACAGAGAAGCATATACATAGCCTTTACTGGGATACAGATGTAGCAAGAATGGCCTTTGCTTTGCTGTAACATACTTAACAATAGGTAGTTGAACAGAATCACAGAATGGCCTCGGTTGGAAGGAACCTTAAAGATCATCTAGTTTCAACCCCCTACCCATAGGCAAGGACACCTTCCACTAGACCAGGTTGCTCAGGGTTCTATTCAACCTGAATCAAACCATGATGAGAGCAACATAAATCTTACTGGTAACAACAGGCATTTTTTTAGATTAATCTCTCAATTTAGGGCAATTCTGAAGCTGGATGCACAAGGAACAGGCCCCTACAGCTCTCACACAACCTGAACTGAGAGGTACTCTAAGTTTCTAACTGTGTAGCTCCAATTTCAGGCACAGGGCAAAATGTTAAGCAGCAGCAAATTGGGACAGATTCCTAACACTGGTTTGTTATTACAACTGCATCAAAGTGCAGCTTGGCATGAATGTCAAATGTCATTACTCCAATTACAAAATAACACATACACAAATCTTAAACCTGATAACAACTCATCAAAAGAAAACCACACAGAATGTGATAAATAAAAAAGAGTTTCCAAACTACACGTTGCAAACAACACAACCTGTTCTCTATTTTATATTCCTTTGTTCTCACCCATCTTGTTCACATTCAGCTACAGAGAAAAAAAGCAATAGTTTTTTATGTATTACTATTTATTGTAGATGTCTGTCAATTACAAATACCTATGCAAAAACTTTGCAAAGCAGTACTTGCTTATCTGTCACACTTCACTCCCTCTCAAAGCATCAAATCTTTAAGGTTGGCAGGGCAAACCCACTGGCCTTTCCCACATCCCTTCTTTGTTTCCCCTGGCAGTTCCTGGAGAACAGAAACACTTTGTGGCTGCTCATATAACCTCCACAGACAACCTGCACTCCAGCCACGGTCAGAATCTACACACAACTCTTTCTCCATGTACATGCTGGCTGGTTTTATATGATCTGAGCCAAAGTACTGAAATCAGACAGAATCTCTCCAGTTTTATCTGTGGATTTTGATCAGGCTTCTAGTAACTTGCCAGCAGTGCTGCCTGCTAGGATGTGTCAGGGAGTGAAGTTTTAACCTACAGTGCAGGTTTTTCTTGCCAAATTCTACTGTGACCTTGAATACACAAGACTGTGTTTTCTTGTTTGCTGCAAGGGTCTGTGCACCCTGGATCTGTTAACAGGGGTAGTGGAAATACCATTAATATCCATTTCAGCAGTGCAAAGAGGGCTTCAATGCCACAGCTAAAATCCAAAACATATCTCTCTCTCTCAGAGCTTTTCAGCTCTCTGCCAGGGATGGGGGGATGAGCAATAAAATGAAATCAGAGCAAAAGAAACCGGGGAGCAGTGGTTTGCACATCTGGGCTGTTGGAATGTGTTGCTTGGCTCATCCCAGTGTGCTGGCCAGCAGAGGCAGAGGTGGTGGCAGTGGTACTTACTTCGTTGATGCTGATCTCAGCCTCCACATACTGCAGCCCCTTCTGGAGGATGGAGATGAGTGCGGCAGGTGGCACTAGTGTTCCGTTGATGTTGGACTGGCTGATGTGGCTCTCGATACCAAAGGTAAAGGCCGAGTGCGAGAAACCTGAGAGCAGGAAAAGGAAGCCATGACATGAAATCTAAATGCACCAGTCAGATACACCTTCACGGTCTAAAAATAATTCCGAGATCTGAGAGACTCTGCCGCGTAAGTGAAGGACGTGGACTGGCTGCATGGAGCCAGGGAGGTCAACCAGAGCCATCCTGAGCACCCATCCCCCTCCCCTGCACACAGGGGGGACAGTCGTATAGAAATGAAAATGTACGCAGAGAAAAATACCTGTGCTAACTGAAACAAAATAAAAACATGTAAAAACTAGAAATTGCTACAAGGACAAGTCCAGCTAAAAAATGTGCCTCAAATATCCATTTCCAGTGTTGGCTGTTTGCTGAAGCTGCACACTTAAATCCCTACCAGTTGTATAAAATCAAGGCATTGATGCAGCTGACACAGAGGAGCCATTCCCTTACACCAGGGAAGTGATTTCAAATCCTCTCCTCATTTATTGCTGAGTACAATATGACAGGCAGAGCATTGCCATTAAAATGTGAAACTACAGAAAGGCCACTCCTGCAAACCTATTTTCTGAAAGTGAACAGTAATAGCAAAAGTAATTAATTGGGATCTGCCAAGCAGCAGACGACAAGTCAGTGCAGTGGCTGCACTTCAGCCAGAAGTCTTTCTCTTCCCTGTTTTATTGTTGTCATTGTCTGAGCAAGTAAGTGGTAATGAAGGTGATGGAACTGAAAATAAAACAATTTTGGCTGACAAATTTTAAAGAGCATCACCTTAAATGCTGTCTGAAGCTGCTCAGAACTGTTGCTGGGTATGAAGACGAGTGCTGCAGTGGCTGAATGTAGGGGCAGCTGCAGGAGGGGGAAGGAGGAACAGGATGTAGATGTAACTGTAGGAACCCATTTATCATCACACTGTCTCCAGAGCATTAATCTAACATTAAAAGCCTTGGGGAAACCACCCATGCACTGTCTCAAACAGGAAGAGCCCTTATGGTCTCCACCAACTAGACAAGAAAAAAACAAATAACAAACCCCCAAAAAAGAAAAAGAAAGCAGCTTTCAAATGAAAATACTTCCGTTAAATATAGCTGTGCCTCTTCCCCTTGTCAACAGCAGTTTCATTTATAGCTTTGTCCGTTAAGGGATTTCCCCCATATCACTGCAATGTCCAATTGTGTACAGGCTGGGGGAAGCAATTTTGGGCTCACTCCACAGTAATGCTTTCTTTCTCTCTCTCTTCAAGATCCTTTTTGCAGCTAGCTCAATTATGAACACAGATAGCTTGCAAAAACAAGCTGAGAAACAGAATGCCTCCCACATTTGAAACCAAGGCATGTATTTCTCTGTGATTCTCCCCCTCCCCCTCCACACATTTTATTTTCCCACTGGTTTTCTCTTTTTTCTGATAACAGCCTCCATCCTCTCCCTTCCCAACCCTAACTTCCCTTCCTGGTGCTCTCCCAGTTTTGGGGGATGCTTTGGACACTTTTTGAGGAAGTGGGAGGTCCACCTATGAACAGAATGATGTCGGATTACAGGGCACAAAAATAAAGCACAGGAAAAAAAGAAACCCTAAAAATGTGCAGTATAATTTATCTAATCCCTGGTCCAATTCCTATTCTCTATTGCACTTCATGTCCTGGTCTTTTTTATGAACTGCTGGACCTCCTGCTGCATCCAAAATAGACTGTTAGACCTGCAGGACAGTGTTTTTCCCTTATTAGTTTTGCAGGACACCTAAGCACGTTAGTGGGCACCACAAAGAGGAAGAAATCACGCACCGAGCACACACAGCCTGCACCTGAGAGATCTAAGGCTTGATCACTGAAATCTTCATGTACATCTATAAACACATGGCATGCAACTAACCAGAATTAGACAATCAGATCCCTCTTAATTTATATTTATGTTTATTTCAATTAATCAACAACAGTAACAAAACCTTAAAAAGGAACAGACTTATAAATGCGTGACAGATAAATCAGCAAATCTATGAAAGAATGGGAAAATTAAACTGTTGTCCAAGAGCACTGAAGTTGACTGCAGCTAGTTTCTAAGTTGGCAGCTCAGAAAACTGTAACATGGTCTCTGGTTAAAACAATGGCATAAAAATGGCAACTGACAAACACGGATGGAAAATGTGAAACAGTGGTAAATCATGACAGCACATCTACAGTAGGCGTAATTTTAACTATGACCTTTTACCTCTCATTATTGCATTTGGTATCTTACAGGTTTTTCAGCTGGCTGCTGGCATATATTAAGCTCCATCTTTGCCAGCAGACAGATGATTGTGGCACACAGCTAACCCCTTTGTCCAGTTCTGAGTTGCCACATCCCCAAAGAGCAACACATCTCACCTCGCTGCACTGAGTGAAGAAACTTCTCAGTACAAAATCCAGTTGTGCTTGTACCACTGCACATCTTGTTAGCTTACTGGTTCTCTGGAAGCTAAGAAACTATTACCAAAGCACTTCTTAGATGAGGAAACATAAGACTCTTGGCTACATTGCCACTAAAGAGCAACTCACACATCTCCAGCAGTTGTGACAAACCTTTCTTATCTGACAAGATCCAAACACTGAAAATCAGTGGAGTAAAACTGCTTCAGCATGTGCTGCTGGATGCAGTATTCTTTGCCTGTCTTGAAAAATCCTCCCATACAATTGTAATTAAAATTAAAATAAACACAAGAGAAACATGCCAACCAGTCCCTCTGACCAACAGCTAATTTCCTCCTCATTTCTTGTATTACCACAGCATTTACATAAGGCTCATATGAAAATTGACTGCTTTTAAAGGTAACACAGACAGTTAGCAAAATCTTTAATGAAGCTGTACCCATGTCAGATTTCTGGTAACGCTGAGGAACCACCTGAGCTTTACTTTCATAGCTCCCTGATGTCATCAGTTCTCTTCAGGGTTCTGCATGTGAGTACACTGAATTATGTAACAATGCTGCAGCTCTATGGTTCAGTCTTACAAAATGGGTCATTTCTATTAAACAAAGGCAATTTTAAAAAAATGTTATCTAGTGTTAACTTGGCCCTCCTTCTAAGTTCATGAAACCACACTGGGGACACAAAGCCAAGACAAGCACCACCCCCACTTCCAGTCTGTCAGGGCAGTTGGGGAGCATGAGCAGAGACAGAAGGTGCTCTGCAAGTGAGGATCTGAGCAAAGGATGTGGTAGGGGTGACGTGAAATTACTATAGACACAAACTCACAATGCTGTAGTAGCAGTGAAATGAAAATTGCAAATCTGTGTCCATATGCATTAATTCTGTCATTTTGGTGACTGCAATAATCACTCTATAAAACATTCAAGTAGCACCAATAAATGAAATCTCAATGTGGTAAACCCTTCAAGGACACATACAATGAGACTATGAGCTTTTCAGGTTAAAGACATGAACACAAAGGGCTGAAGAGGAGAAAGCATGGCCACACACTGAACAGTGAACCACACAGTTACTTTTGCTGTGACATGACCAGTGCACTAAATGACATCTTACAGCAGACTTGAGAGAATGACTTCCAGGTTTTTTCTGCCTCAAAAGAGATGGGAAAACAGAAACCAAGAAACTTATGCATAATCTGTAAATACATTATCATACATGAAAATTATATCCCAATGAACAGGGCAAATCTTGGATGATCTTGGTATAAATGGAGGTGACCTATCAACTGTGGAATAGTTGGACTTGAAGCATTTTACAGTGTGTAAGAGCAGAGAGGAAATAATGAATGCAGAAAAAATTACTTAAATGACCCCCCAACACAAAAATTGTCATGCAAGTCAACAAACAGACTTGAAAACTGAGCGAAATTCCTCACTGAGAGATTCCCACACTTTTTTTGTACTGACAGTGGTAACAGGTCCTGGTTCTGTGCTGTATCTTTTCCCACACCGAGGTGTCTGTATATACTCTCAGTGGTACATACACAGCCATTTGGGAATTCTTGCCCTAGGCAGTGCCAAAAAATGCATATGTAGGACTGTGTTTTGCAAAATTTCACTGATAGGTTTTGCTATAACTGCAAAAATGGAGATGATTGAGGGGTTTTTTTCCTTAGCTGCTCCTTTTTTAGTTCAAAATGGCCTTCCTTTAAAAGCAGATTTGTCATTGATCGTAAAATGACTAGTTTTATTTAATGAACATAATGATGCTTTTTGTGTTCTTGCCTGATCTGCAGGCTACATAGTTTTAATTGCAATATGCTTGACTTGCAGCAGAAATGCCTGTCCAATGTAGCTCTAGGAAAGGGTACTGGGCAGCTATGCAGCCTGGAGAACCACTTGTCTTCTCCAGAGATATGTCTCACCTCTTCTGGGAGCAAAGCAATCCTCCTTTCAGGCATGCAGCTGGGCTGCTGCTGAGAATTCCCTGCACTAGCTCATCTGGCAGTTGCAGCTCCAGCTCACTGACATTCACCATGTGTGCATTTCATTTTTCTGATCCCTTCAGCACCTCAAAAAGCAAGTCTTTTTAAAACTGCAGTCTTGACACGCAACAGCTACAGTACCTACTGCAGCATTTGTCCAGGTGAGGGGAATGACAAAGAGGCTCTGTGGAAGCAACAACTTGTGAATTGTTTCAGTCCTTGCTGGTTACTCAGGAGTTACCTCAGGGATGCCCTGATGGGCAGTAGTTAAGTGATCTGTTGAACACTGCAAGTTTTCTGTTTGTGAACTTAATGGACTTAGTTTCCCCCGGTAAATCTAAATAGTATACTGTTAAAGATAATTTTTAAAAGAATCAGATGTGTCTAAGTTATTTGCAAATTACTCATTTTATTTATTCCTACTATAAGACCTCTCACTGAAACATTTGTTACTGCAGAATGAGAGAATTAAGAGTCATGAACACCAAATTGCCTTTTACACACACCTGAGGCATCTTTATGATGAACAGCCTCTATCCCAACACTAAGTAACAAGCCATTCATGCAAATCTTTGTGCAGCTAAGGCCCAGTGTGGCCCTCTGCCAATGAGATTTCATATGGAGGTCTGTGTCATTTCCTTC